CGTGCACTTAACCGCTAAGCCACGGGGCCGGCCCAAAAGCAATTAAATTTAGATAGGGCTAAGAATATTGATCCTGCAGAGTTCAGATTTTACTCAGAGAACTGAAATAGAATAGAATTTTTGATGAGACGCTTCAGTATTTTTCATTGATCCTGTGAGAATTATTCTTAAGCAAACTTATCAAGGGTACTTTGGATAATAGACATTGTTTTTACATCTTGATTGACTTGCTGAATTTGAAACGCTGAACTCTAAGGTTATGCAGTCACATGATTTCGATAACATTTCTGTATCGGCTTATTTTTTACCCTGGTTCACATATGTATTTTGACCAACTAAAACAACCATATGTCCAAGTGGGTGTAGATAGATGGCTTGTGCAAAACTTCTACCATTTCTTTGTCATGTTGTAGGGTTTACATACTACAGTGATGTGAGACTTCTTACAAAATCACTTTTAGTCCCTCAATGTTAATGGCAATATACAGACTTTAGCATAAATATCATCAGCTCTTTTTCTAAAACAGTCCATATAATATAGGTCATGAAAACCTTGAAAAGCCTAAAACTGAGGTCTGTGTCACCGACACTGCAGGTGGTCATACACAAAGAACTTTTTGTTCTCCCTGAAAATAGATAATGGATATATTTTCATTTTAAAAGTTTAATAAAGGTAAGATGATTCTGATGAATAGCAAGTAGCAACAAGCAAATTGACTTATTTTGGGATAATTAAAATTTATTGATCCATAAATTAACCTCTAGTCAATAGATCTCAAAATACACCTCAAACTAAAATCAATTTGGGTTTTATTATGTACATAAATTTGAAAAGAATATTTCTTCAGTGGGCCGGCCCCGTGGCTTAGCGGTTAAGTACGCGCGCTCCACTGCTGGTGGCCCGGGTTCGGATCCCGGGCGCACACCAACGCACCGCTTCTCCGGCCATGCTGAGGCCGCGTCCCACATACAGCAACTAGAAGGATGTGCAGCTATGACATACAACTATTTACTGGGGCTTTGGGGGAAAAAATAAATAAATAAATAAAATTATTAAAAAAAAGAAGACTATTTCTTCAGAAAAAGCAAGAGAAGCATGAAAAATGTTGAGATTATAGAAGAAAGCTATAACAGAATTTTCCAGAAATTCAAGAGTAAGAAAACAAATACTGTTAATTAGTTGAGGTTAGCATTCTCAGTACCTTACTTCATACTTAAAAAAAGTTCATGAGATTTTTTTGGTGGTTCTACTTTTTAAATTAATTTAAAAAACCCATGAATATAGGAATTTGATGAGGAAAAAATTGGACAAAAGGCCAGTCCTCAGTTTCTTACTCAGAAGCAGTCATCTTATGAGTTTCTTGCATATTCTTCCAGAGATACTTTATACATATATAAGCATATGCATAGATATTTTCTTTTTAAAATAAAAAATGGGTGCTTATTATACATATTCAATGCATTTTCCTTTTATTGTCTTTTGCTTACCACCTATTTTAAGATATTGTTCTATGTCATGATATTGCTCCATATAGAAGTACCATAATTTATATAATTTCTTACTCATGATGCAGATTTTCTAGTTTTATTATAAATTTCATGTATAGAAAACTAACAAACACACAATACAGCCCATAAATCCACCATAAAATACATACAGTGGTGTGCTGGTAAACTGGCTCTCTGGGGGCAAACAAACCCCTGACTGGCACTTGCCAATTTTCATGGTATAAATACTCCCATCATAGCTGATTTTAATGTGAACTCACTGAAGAGAGTTGGAAAGAGATACATCCAGTCAGCTCATGAGGTGGCTTGAGCTGATTCTAGCAAACTATTGAATACATCCCATCTACAGCCTGTGTTTTGAGAAGAAATGTAACAATCAGGACCCCACTGGTTACAGAGTTGTAGATACATTAAACTGTTTCTCTTTGGTTATTTTTTCATATTGATATCAGACTAGCCTTAAGAACAAGTTCTATTCTTCCCAATGATTTTAAATGTCAGTAAGTATCTTCATCACCTATTTTTTTAAAAAGATGGACTCAATCTAGTACTTTGAAGAAAAAGAACAAAGATAAAGATTTAGAGTTAAATGCTATATTATGAAAGGAATATATTCTGTTAATAAGCATAAAAATACCTACCATTCACTGAAAACTTTCTATATGCTGGGCACTGTATTTCATCCTCATCCTTATAATGCAGTATTTTATCTCCTATTCTACAGATGCAGAAATTGACCCTCAGGACAAAGGGCTAGCTCCCAATCTCAGCTGGTCAGCAGTGGATCTGAGTTTCTAGCCTAGATCTGTTTGACTCCAAAATTTGTGCCTAACCACTGTGGGATATATACCACTTCTCAAAGCATTTATTAAAAAGATCGATGCTTAGTAAAAAATTCAGCATCCTAAAATTTTAGAATTTATAGCTAGTAAACTGAAGACCAGTTTATTTAAGCAGAGTATGTATAAGTGTATAAACCCCTAATTAGTTAACCTGTTGTTTTTCCACTAAGGTTTAATTTGTTCTTCATGAAAAATGTCAGGGACCTTTTGTGTAGGTATGTTAAAGTTTGCTTTAAGCGAATTAAGTGATGGCACTCATGGGAACACAGCAGGAATAAGGGTTTTCAAAAGATGTAACTGTATCTATGACTCAGAGTTGACAGTACTTCTACCAAATTCAGTTCAAGCAAGGACATACCTTCGAGGAACATTGTGAGGATACGGAATGACAATTAGCTGGGAATTGGGAATGATTGCAGTCCACTCTTGTTTTCGTATAGACTAGAAAAAGAATTTAAGAACATTTTACATCCAGTACACTCTAAAAACAATTCTTATTCTAAATAAGTAAGGAAAAAGCTTAAGTCCTCTCTGATTAATTGAAATCCTAGGTATGGATTAAGCTAAATTTATGTATATTAAGCCCAAAATAGGGCCCTGACCCTGTTGGCAAAAATTTTTTGATCTTTTCAGGGAAGGATTATATTTCTGTCTCAGGGATTCATTAATTCAACAAATATTTATTGAACAGTTATGTAGCAGGCACTGTGCAAATTGCTTTGTACAAATGTTGCTTGGAGCTAAAATTCAAGTGGAGGGGGGAGTCTGACAATAAAACAAATAATTTATAGTATGTTAGATGGTGAAAATGATAAGGAGAAAAAGCAGGAAAGAAGGATAAGAAGTCGTGAGATTTATGGGATAGGTGGTGGAAAACTATATCTTCAAATTATGATGTGCTCTATGTAAGATAGGCTTGGATAGGTCACTACCAATCATTTTTTTTTATTCTTTAAAGGGCATTAAAAAAATTGAATTACAGTAGTCCCCCCTTATCTGTGGGAGATATGTTCCAAGACCCCCAGTGGATGACACGGTGGATAGCCTTGAACTCTATATATACTATGTTTTTTCCTATACATACATACCTGTGATAAAGTTTAATTTATAAATTAGACACAGTAAGAGATTAACAACAAAACTAATAATACAATGAACAATTATAACAATATACTGTAATAAAAGTTATGTGAATGTGTTCTCTCTCTCTCAAAATAACTTACTGAACTGTACTCACCCTTCTCCTTGTGATTATGTGAGATGATAAAATCCCTACGTGAAGAGTTGAGGTAAGGTGAATGACGTATGCACTGTGACCTAGTGTAGTGTTAGGCTACTACTGACCTTCTGACTATACGTCAGGAGGCGGCTGATCTGCTCTGGACCACAGTTGACCTCGAGTAACTAAAGCCATGGAGTGAAACTGCAGATAAGGGGGGGACTACCGTTATTTGAATTTGAATTCAATTGAATTTACTCACCCTCTCTCCAGATGGACGGGGAATACCAACATAAAGATGATCAAGAAAATTTGCACTTCGACCTAAACCAAGTACATTGTACGGTAGTTGGAGAGCCAAATATGCCGACTGGCTGAGTTGTCCAGCTAAATTTATTAAAAAAAAAAACCAGAAAAAGAAAAGAAGACATCTTTGGAAACAGTGCTTTCATCAAATATTAAAATGATAAAAATGTTAAAAAATGTATGTGCTAGAACTTATTAAGGATAAAAATGTGAAATTAAATGTCCAGTTCATTAATATAAATGATTCGCTTTTTAAAGAAAACAGCTTTATTGAGATATAATTCATATACCATAAACATCACCCACTTAAAGTGTACAGTTAAGTGGTTTTGAGTATATTCAAAAAGTTGCTGAGCCATAATCACAATCAAATTTTAGAACATTTTCATTGCCCAAAAAAGAAACCGTATACCCATTAGCAGTTACTCCTGTTTCTAACCCCTACCCTTCCAGCTGTAGGTAACCACTAATCTACCTTCTCTACAGATTTGTCTATTCTGGAGATTCATATAAATGCAATCATGCAATGGATGGTCTTTTTATGAATAATGCTGCTGTGAACAGTTGAACATACACAAGTTTTTGTGTCAACTTAGGTTTTCTAAAATGGCTGCACCATTCTATACTCCCACCAGTAATGTATGAGGGTTCCAATTTTTCCACATCCTTGCTAGCACTGTGTCTTTTTGATCAGAGCCATTTTAGTGGTTGTGAACTGGTATCTAATTGTGGCTTTTATTTGCATTTACCTAATGACCAATGATGCTGAGCTTCTTGTCACGTGCTTCTTGCCAATTTGTGCAGCTTCCTTTTTATATCTGTAAGGTTGGTAGCAGTCTCCTCTTTCATTCTGGATTTTAGTAATTTGAGTCTCCTCCTCTTCTTGGTTAGTCGAAAGGTTTGTAAAATTTTGTTAATCTTAAAAAAAAATCTTTTGGCTTAATAGGTTTTCTCTCTGTTTTTCTATTCCCTACTTATTTCCTCTCATTATTTCCTTCCTTCTGCTTGTTTTGGGCATAGTTTGCTTTTCTTTTTCTAGTTTCTTAAGGTGGAAGATTAGGTTATTGATTTCAGATTGTTCCTATTCCTGAACATAGCCATTTACAGCAGTAAATTTCCCTCTAAGAACTGCTTTAGCTGCATCCCATACATTTTGGTATATTGTGTTTTTGTTTTCATTCACCTAAAGTATTTTCTAGTTTCCCTTGTGATTTCTTCTTTGACCCCTTGGTTTTTTAAGAGTGTGTTCTTTAATTTCCAATACTTGTGAATTTCCAAATTATTACTGATTTCTAATATCATCGCATGATAGTTGGGGAACATACTTGGGATGATTTCAATCCTTTGAAATTTACTGAGGCTTGTTTTCTGACCTGGCATATGGTCTATCCTGGAGAATGCTCAAGTGTGCTTGAGAAGAATGCTTATTCTATTCTGCTGTTGTTGGGTAGCGTGTTCTCTACATGTCTGTTAGGTTTAGTTTGTTTATAGTGTCATTTTTTCTTTCCTTTTTATCTTCTGCCTAGTTGTTAGATCCATTACTGAAAATGAGGTATTAAAGTCTTCAATTATTTATTGTTGAATTATCGATTTCTCTCCTCAATTCTTCACGTGTTTTGGTGGCTCTGTTGTTAGATGCATATTTCTTTATAGCTGTTACATCTTCCTATGGACTGACCTATTTATTATCATTATAAAATGTCTTTCTTTGTTTCTAGTAACAATTTTTGTCTTAAAATCTAGTTTTATCCAGTGTTAGAAAGGCCACGCTGGCTCTCTTTTGGTTACTCTTTGCAAGGTATAATTTTCCCCGTCTTTTTACTTTTAACTTATTTGTATCTATGAATCTAAAGTGTGTCCCTTGTAGATAGCACCTAGTTGGGTCATATTTTATTATCCATTCTGCCATTCTCTGCCTTTTGATAGGAGTGTTTATTCCATTTACATTTAATGTAATTTCTGATAAGGTAAGATTTACGCCTGCCACTTGCTATTGGTTTTCTATATATCTTATGCCTTTTTAATTCTGCTGTGCTTTCATTGCTGCTTTCTTTTGTTAAATGTTTTCTAGTATACGATTTTAATTCCCTAGTTGCTTCTTTTATTATATGTTTTTTGTTATTTTCTTAGTGGTTGCCCTGGGGATTACAATTAGCATATTAACTTAAGAAAACCCTTAATTCCTAGTACATATGACAACTTCGCTCCCCCTACTTTGTGCTACTGTTATACAAATTATATTTTTACATATATTATCAGCCCATCAACATAAGTTTCTAGTTATTACTTTATGCAGCTGTTTTTTAAATCAGATAGGAAATAAGAGGCATTACCTAACAAGAACACATATACCATATTTTATATATCTATAGTCTTACTGTTGTTTTTTACTCATTGGTGTAGATTCGAGGTTCTGTCCAGTTGTCCTCTCAGTTCAGCCTGAACGGCTCCATTTAGTATTTCTTGTAGGGTAGGTCTGCTAGCAATGAATTCTCTGTTTTTCTTTATCTAGGAATGTCTAAAATTCTTCATTTTTGAAGGATAGCTTTGCCACATATAGAATTCTTGATCTGACGTTTTTTTCTTTCAGCACTCCCTTCTGGCCTCTGTGGTTTCTGATGAGAAGTCAGCTGTTAATTTCATTGAGGCTCTCTTGTATGTGATGAGTTGTGTCTCTCTTTGCTTTTTGACAGTTTGACTATGTGTCTCAGTGTGGATCTCTTTGAGGTTATCCTACTTGGAGTTTGTTGAGCTTTTCAGATGTGCAGATTAATGTTTTTCATCAAATTTGGGTGGTTTCAGCCATTATTTCTTCAGATATCTATTGTGCCTCTTTCTTTCTCTCTTCCCCTTTTAAGACTCTCCTTATGCATATGTTGATATGCTTGATGGTGGCTCCGCAGGTCTCTGAGGTTGCTCACCTTTCTTTTTTCTTTCTGTAAATCTGAGTGTGTACCCTCAACTGATCTATATTCACTTTTTTTTGTGTGTGTGAGGAAGATCAGCCCTGAGCTAACATCCATGCCAATCTTCCTCTTTTTGTTGGTGAGGAAGACTGGCCCTGGGCTAACATCTGTGCCTATCTTTCTCCACTTTATATGGGGCACTACCTGCCACAGCATGGCCTGATAAGTGGTGCATCGGTGTGCACCCGGGATCTGAACCTGGGCCGCCAGCAGCACAGCGTGCGCACTTAACCGCTACACCATGGGGCCGGCCCCTCAACTGATCTATATTCACGTTTGTTGGCTCAAATCTGTTGTTGAGCCCTCTACTGAATTTTTCATTTCGGTTACTCTGCTTTTCAACTTCAGAATTTCTATTTGAATTTTAAAAATAATCTTTATCTCTTTATTTATATTTTCTATTTAGTGAGACATAGTTGTCATATTTACCTTTAATTCTTTAATCCTAGTTTCCTTTAGGTCTTTCAACATATTTATAATAGCTGATTTATACTTTTTGTCAACTTAGTCCAACATCTTCCAGCACATTTCCTGTTTTTTTCTTTTTTTTTGTAATATGTATGTGGCATACTTTCCTGTTTCCTTGCATGTCTTATAATTTTTTGTTGAAAACTGGACTTCTTATATAACATAACAACTATGGTACTACCTATTTCCCCCCAAGGGTTTGTTGATTTTTCTTTGTTGGTGTTGTTGATGCTCATTTGTTTAGTGACTTTCCTGGATGAATGCTATAGATGAATACTATAGAATCTATGAATTCTAATCGATTTCCTGGATGAATTCTATTATTAGGAAATAATGCCACGAAGTTCTTTTATTTTCTTATTTTTAAAGTCCTTGTTCTACACCTGGCTTCCTAGGGGGCATACCTGGGTCAGTATAACTTAGTGGTCAGCCAATGATTGGTCATAAGATTTCCTTAAATATCTTGCCTATATGTCTTCCACCCTTTGTCAAGGGATTTATGTGAAGGCATGCCTTCAAACTTCAGGCAGTTTATAGAACACAGGGCCTCCAGGTCAGGCAGAAGGGAGCTAAGTATTTGAATGCAGTAGTTTCCTTTCTAGGCATGTTCACAGTCTTCTAGATCCCCAAGAATATGCTGTAGCTTTTCAAAGTTGCCTACAGTTGTCTAGTTCCTCAGGACTTCCTTTTATATTTTGGCCAGTCTCTTGTTCACTACACCCGAAATCATAAGCTTGGGTATGTAGGCTTTGCCAGTAGATTGTTGTTTTTGTCGGTAATGCCCTGGGGATAGGCTTTTTTTCCCTGCTGGGCTGAACTCTGAGTGAAATCAAATAGCCCCAACATCCTGAGAATGGAGATTTCCTAGGGAGTTGCTAGTTTAGACAAAATCCTGACAGTGCTGTGCAGATGGGAATGCTAACAGAGCTCCAAAGGTCAGTCCTGGCACTGCCGGTGAGGCTGCTGGCTTCCATGGCTGCTGCGCCTCTCAGGAGAGAAGGGAGGTGGATGGGAACAGCCCCAAGGTAAAACGCCAGAGACCCTGTTATCTTATTGAGGATTAGTAGTTCCTCTTGAACAGATGATACTCAGTCCATTCTGTGACTTTGGTTAATTTCCAGAGTTCTGAAATGGTTGATATTAGTGTTTGGCCAGTATTTTTGTTGTTGTTGTTTTTTGGTAGAGCAGGTTCATGAAGTCCTCACACTGGCATTCCAAAAGTCAATCTCTCTCTATTATGGTTCACTTTTAAAGAGTGTATATATTTGCTAGGTATTTGCCACATAATTAAACTGAACATTTAAATGACAAGGTTAATTAATATCTAAATATTATAATATTCAGTGGGACTCTGCTAAACATCACTAAGGTTACCCAGAAATATGAAATTATTGGGAAGCATATATATCTGATTTTTATGTAGTTCTTACATTAATAAGACAGGAATTTTTAAATAGGCATTTAAAAAAAATTAATGTATGTGAAATTATAAAGCAATATAGTGAATTGCATGAGCTGTAGAATTAGTCCACCTCATGGAGTTATGCTGACTGAATGATAATGCTTAAAAGAAGAGTGTCCCGCACAGTAAATACTCAATACATGTTAGCTGTCTTTATTAACATAAAATTTATTATTACATAGATT